TTTAACTTATTATAACTTACAATAAAAAAGATATTCAATGCAAAAGACTAAATAAAAAAGTCCTAAACAATTTATCGTGGTCTTCGAAATGGTTGAAAATGGCAAATAAAAAAGACTTTTTGGTGAATATTGTGAATACTGTGAATAATGTGAATAATTGAATACTCGATTACCTTAGCATATTGATTAAAGATCGATGCCCGATTTTACGCACATATGATGTAATTGTTTTAGTCAACAATTACATCGTATGTATGTAAAAGCGGCACCGATCTTTAATCAATGTGCTAAGGTAATCAAGTATTCAAGTATTCGCATTATTCGCAGTATTCATATATTCACCAGAAAATTTTTATTTGCCATTTTTAACTATTCCGAAAACCGCGATAATTCTTGAACATCCATTACATAGATTCGCTGCACATTAAAATATATATTTAAGGCCAGTGTTCTGGGAAATAATATGCTTACCTGCATTTACTGGTTTAGAAATTTTTTGAAAATTCAAAGATCAACTTGTATAAATAGCTTGTTTGTGTATTTGATAATTAAATTGAATCGATTTGTTTTATTTGCTTGATCGTATATTGAAGAATTTTTGCCTGAGTTTTTTAATTTCTTCAATTTGTTTGTATAATTCTGTTTCTTCATATTCCAAATCTTCACTAAATTGATTCAGCTCATCTACTAATGCTTTAGCAGTTGATCTGCTTTGAGGTTCAGCATCTAAGCAATTATTCGTCAAATCCAAAAGTAATTACGAAACTTTACACCTGATTTCAGGTCTACGACTAGACAAATTTGTGTTGTTAAGCTAAGATCATGTGGAATATAATGATATGGAGGATACCCAGTAAAAACTTCTGACATGATTATTCCAAAAGAATAAATATCCGATTTCAGTATATTTCTCTCCATACAACACCTCTGAAGCAATATAAGGAAGCACATCAAAACTCTCTTTAGAACTTGAATCTTGAGACATTGGCCTACATAATCCAAAATCAGTAATATAAGAACTGTCCATATTTTCGTTACTATATTTTCGGAATGAAAATCTTTATACACTAAATCGATTTGGTGGATTGTATTAAGCCCATCAGCCATGTAATATAAATTCCCTATTTTATGTTGCCAACTTAAATCATTATATTTACTATCTAATAATTTTCGGAAACTTCCTTGTTTCGTGTATTGCATAACCATCAATAATTACCATCAATAATTACCATCATTTGAGTTCTTAGTTATTCCATGAATTGTAATTGCTGAACTACCCATGTTTATGTTGATTTTCGACTTAAAATATTAATTATAATAAACAAATATATACTAAAATTTTTATATCTTCTTTAGAACCATTTAGACTTTTTAAGCAAACACTTCTTTGCAGTTTTCTCTTCCATCGATTCCCAATATTGAATAATTCCGTCAGTCCATAATGCCTTAAAAACAGTGCCAAACCTCCTTTAGCAAGATGCTTTAGATTTTAAATTTGTCAAGAGGTATCCATTTGATAACATCTTTGAGATACTGTGCTTTAATTTGTATTTGTTAAATAAAGCTATCAATATCTGGATTTCCACTTGTCCATTTCCCAAACTCTTCTTTAAACCCTAGATATCGCAAAAAAATGATGTACTTCGATAATGTCAAGAGTTACAGTATAAAAGATTTTCTGATTCCGTATTACTTACTGACTGACGTAATATAGAGTATTGTATTGTATGTGGATTGGTTTATGTTATGCTATTTGTGCTGGAATATAGTCAACATTTCTGATTTAAATTTTTTTTATTCCATACTACTTACTGTCGTAATATAGAGATTGTATTGCATGTGGATTGGTTAATGTTATGTTATTTGTGTTGGAATATAATCGAAATTTCCGATTTAAAATTTTTTTTATTCACATTACTCACCAGCTATTGTAATGTAATATAGAGTATTGTATTGTATGTGGATTGTTTAGTGTTATGTTATTTGTGTTGGAATATAATCAATATTTCTGATTTAAAATTTTCGAGTTTTTAAACTTCAATTACTTACAGACTGGTATGAGCATTTAAATTATATAATTTACAAGATTTTTTGCTGTCTTTTCGATCTGTTGGATTCAAATGAGCGAATAGTGATTATCAGGACGGCAAAAAAATCTAACCGGAAAGTTGGAAATTTGAAAAACCTAGAAATTAATCATTTAAGCCCATAATATAGTAAAATATAATTACTATTTTTTATCAATTTTTTTGGGTATTTTACTTCGCTATTGAAAGTACAACTGCAAATTGCAAGTGCAGGTGCAAAAGACAATACAAAACACACTTTAACTTCTTGATACGTTCGATGGACTTTTTAGTCACTTTTTTCGCTCAAAGCAGTTTATGCTTTTAGGTTTATTAAAACTTTTAAAACTAACTATTTATTTCAATTACATAGTATTTGGATAAGTCTTTGTTTCTTTGCTTGCGCCTCCTCTTCAAAATTCCATTTTATCAGAAAGTATTGTCCGAATTGCCGCAAACAAAGTTCTTAAGTCATTTACACAATTATCATTTATTTCGAATTCTCACTAACAGCACCAAACTCATTGTCAGAAGTGACAATGGTAAAATACCACCTATCTCCGGTGGTAACTATGCCATAGGCATATTGTAATTGGTCATTCTTCCTCTTTTTGTCCGACTATATAAAATATAGAGAATATTAGTTTAAATTTAATAATTAAGCTTTGCAATAATTAAGTACATCCAATAGTACTAAATTTTTTATGGGTTATAATTGACTATACTCAAATAGTAGATACCTCGCATGCGCCCTGAACTTGGGCAAAGTTTTGTACAAAGCCATACTCTATATTCGATGATTTGGCTTCGATGATACAGAGAATACTCTCATCTTGCACAATGGTAAAGTCAAATCGACCTTTGCCATTAATACCGAATAGAGAATATTCTCTGTGTACATCTATATTCGTTGCTTCATAACTCGAAATAATGCCATGAAGAATGGCAGAGACGTATTCTGCCCTTTCAACTTCGTTGGCGTTATTAATTTTGGTTGAGGTTTTCACAAGCAGCTTTAAGATCATATATATAATTAGCTTCCATTCACTCTGTACATATAATCCAAAACAAAATCTTAAATTAAACCTATACAAACCTTAGTGTCGAAATTATTTGATCTTCGTATGGGGTCATATCCGTTAAGGTTGCTATAAAAAATATTAAAAGCTTAAAAAAACGAAATATAAATTAAATATATTAGCATAAATTAATTAATATATTACTTACAAAGGTTTAGCTTTGGTAAATCGCTAATCCTTTCAACCTTAATTCCAAAAAGTTTATTAAGCAGCGCCAGCTTTCTGCATGATGAAAATGGTTGCTAAAAAAATAAAGACCAATTCCAATAATATTTGTAATATTAAATAAAATTTAATTTTGATCCATCTTTTATTAAATTTTCTATATATGTTACAAATTTGACTAGATTCGGTCAACAAATCCTATATTACCTGGCGACGGCTTAATGGAGTATGATTTTTTCTACTCGAACGAAAAGAAGCTCGACTTGATGAAGCTTCGCTTGACGAGGGTTGACTCGGGGAATACTTGTATAAGTTTTAATATTATATATGTATGATTTATATAAATAATATAATACTTATATAAACTTTGAAATTATATTAAAATATTACTTTAATCACCTTTGCCAAAATTTATCGGCTTTACTTCCTTTATTATGTTTAAATGCCTAAATATAAAATAAAAGCATGAAAGTGCTACGAATAAAAAATTTAGTCGTAATTATATTGATTACAAGAGAAGATGGGCGCCACCGGCGCCCCTATTGTGTTACTTGTGTCAGATGATATTGATTAAATTATGTTTAACGATAAAAATTTGGATTATGTGGGTATATATCAAACTCGAATATGTAAAATTTGGATTATGTGGGTATATATCAAACTCGAATATGTAAAATGATTACGTTATCAATTAATAACAAAAAAGGTTTGACGTATGTTTGTATCGGAATAATGCAGTCTGATGTTTTAGTTGAATTTTAGTTATGATTTATTATTGATAGCATTAAAATCATTAAAATTGAATATGCAGGGATCATCATAACAGATAAGCAGTTAAATTTGCACGGTTTAATGCTTGCCGGTGGCTTTTCGCCTGCATAATGTTTGACGGCCGTTAGAGCTGAATTGGTAATGGTTACGTAGTAGGAATTACAACTGCGCTCTCCACTGAATCAGCCTTTTTCTCACAGTATTCATTATGGTTCTACTCGAATTTTGCGTTCGTATACAAAATCTTAGTAGAATTACAAATATGATTATGGGTATTATGTCCATGCCATTAAAGCTCTACGTCTGCCCGCATTAAAGTGATTTGATGGTTAATTGGACCACCTTTAGAGATTTAATTTATTAGGCTTAGTATTAGCATCATAATAAAGTTTGATTTGTTAATGGTTTACTCTATTGATATGATATCGTAAAATAATATATCAGAAACGATGCGAACGAAGTTAAGTTCGATTATAGGAGTAAAATGATGTCGTGCAAATACATACATCTAACTAAAAAAATTAAGTGACCTGATTTAAATTTATTAGTATTTTCTTATCTTCGCATTCTTAACTTATTTTAATCTGATCTTTTATTGACTGTTTAGATGATGATACTAAAGAATGAATTTGCTAAACGTTCGAATATAAACATTAATCTTTGTCAATCTTGATTTTTTAAGTAATTCAATCAAATTGTAAGGTTAGTTTGATGAACGCTTTCGCTGTCTGGTGATTAGAAAGTATAATTAACAAACCTAATAACGATTTCACTGCAAATTTATAGCGTGAAATGTGAGTTTAAAATTTTAACCAACGGGAGCAACTCTACAGAAAACATTGGTCATAGCTTCAAGTTTTTTCGACATGACGGTAAAAATAAACTATTGAAACAATCGAAAATAATATGAAAAAAATTAATGTATAATAAAATTTCGGAAATTGATACTATCGGCGAATCATTGTCAAAAAGTTGGTTTATCGGAGAAATGATAGGATTAATCGAATTTTGTAGATATGTTTATGAGGACCAAGCTGGTGAAGAAAGTTATACAAGATCATAAATCAAACCAATCAGACTGCTATAATATCAACTACGATATACCAAAATATATGTTCCAAACCAAAAAATTACTTTGAAAACAGATATTCAATGCTAATAAAATCGGTGAAATTAAATATTACTGCCAGCAAAAAAAGCTAGGCTGAAAATATAGATAAAGTATTTTCACTTGTGACTTTATTTAAAATCAACCTTCCTTGCGTGACAATGTTGCGCAGCTATCTTATTAATAAATACCCAAATTGAACAGGTTGTGATACCCATAAACTGCATTAAATTTAACCAACCATAATTATATACAAATACAACAAATATTCAAGGTCTTTTTAATCGAATATTTAGAGAGTCTTGCTAATTCTTATTTTCCTCTAGCTTCTTATTCTTGGATAACTTGAGGCGACCTTTTTCACTATACAGCAATTCGACTTTTTTATCACTTATTTCTGCTGTAAGCATATAATCGGGTCTTTGTGCGCATCTCAAGTCACCACCAGCTCGAGATGCACTGGCTAAAACTTCGTACGTATGTGCATACCCGTGTTCGTTTTCTTTTTTTGGTCTTCATTTCACTTCGAAGTTACCGGTGGTTGGGGGAGGGGATACTTGTGGGACAATTTTCGTTTATCTCTAAAATTAAAAAATAACTAAGTGTTCAATTAATAAAGTAGAAGAATAGAAAAAAATGCCAACCATGCACCTAAGCTTCGTGTTTTATAAGTAGCCCGTTCATGATTATATCAAATAATCGTGTTAATACTTCACACGCTCGGATCACTTTCGCTGCTGCTGCTTGTGATGATAATTGGCGAAACTGGAAACCTTCGTTTTCGTACATATTATCATGAACATGGGCTCTATATTTTTTGGAGACCCATAATTGGTGCCTAAAAAAATATTTTTAATGTTAATTGACTGATCTTAATTTGAGCTAAGTAAAAAATGCTAGTCGGTTTGTCGATTCAAATAATTTTTTAAATTAATTACTACTAATCGGGCAACCAACTATCAAATAGTTTAGAGACAAAGCGATTAATGATTTTACCAAGTCTGTTACCCGATTATAACCTTGTCTGTTCAAATCACTAATGTAAAGTAATAATTGATAGTGGTACTTACAATGCTTCAAAAATTTCCACCTAGCATTCACCAGAAACAGCTACCAATGCTTCTCCTCCACCGGAAACAGCTACCAATGCTATTCCTCCACCGGAAACGGTTTATTCTCCCCGACAACAGAAATAACACTGGCTAAATTCTTCTTTTGACGAAACAATAGAAGGAAACTGTAACACTTCTATTATTTTGTCTTGCGTAATTTGTGCATTTCGACTAGCTGTTCCATGCATTTGAATTTTAATTTTTTAACTCTTCACGATCCTAGGACCTAATTTTTTGCAAACGACTTTTCAACTCTCCTTATAAAGAAATTATTAGATAAGAATATAAAATTTATTGAAATTCTAACACATTATATTATAATTACCTAAATTTTTTTCAGCGATATAAAATTCCAGAGCATATTGGGTGATTATGCCGTAATTTGCTCACATCCAATTCACTTTTGATCTTCTT